TACAGAGACCCTGCATGACAAGGCTGTCTGCTTACAAGAGCACGGTGCCCAATTCAACCGCTGCAGCTCCGCTATCACGTCTACAATGCTGCAATGCACAAACCTTTCCAGGTGTGTGGCAGCGATGGGGAGTAGAAGAGACAGACCAGAAAGCGTCAGGGCACAGGATCAATATTCTTCTTTTCCATGCGCCAGATTCTGAGCTCTTTGATCTAAATCTACTTTCTTTATTCAGTCTTTGATTTCAGCAGGTCCCTGTCTGAGCACTGACTGGTCAGAAATGAAGGAAGAACCTCAAGTTGTAGCCCAAAGATCTTGCTGGAAATCTTTGAACTCATGGCTCTACATACTTCCTTCTCGCCCCCAAGTCACCAAACATCTGCACTATCATTTTACCAGGTACCATTTCCCTTAGTCATAAAAACCATATGCAGTGGAGAGCTGTGGCCACCAGCTTTACCCAGCACTCAGTTCTTCAGGACTACAGATCAACCTTCACAGAAAAACTGACAACCCCCCTTAATTTCTTGGGTTGCTCATATCCCCGTATTCCTTAGAATTTGCTGCTTCTCAACGGACGTAAAGTGACACCACGTTTGGTGGGGGGGTGGTCCAGTCCTAAGCACTGGACTTAAAAGTCAAGTCATGAGTTCTCTGCCTAGCCCTCCTTCTGTCTCACTGTAAGATACATCTTTCTCTCTGAACAACTTATCCCAAAGTGGGATAACACCATCTAATCCTTAGGTAAGTTGCAAAAGTGAATTAGTAGCTGTTTTTCATTTTGAGATCCGTTTTGAGATCCTCAGATGAAAGACAGTGTTGGAAGTTTCAAAGTATTGCAATAAGTCTTGGTGCAAAACAGACAACAAACTGTTGTTCTACGCATCGTGCATTGATTTTTTTATTGCAAGCATACATAGAGTAGATGTATGGCACAATTGTTAAAAAAAAAGAAAAAGAAAAAGAAAAAAGAAGCACTGGATATTATTGAACGATTAGGAAGTGACACTTTTGTGCAATATTTCCAGCTAATCAGCACCTTCCTTTCCTTTGGACACCTTTGCGGACGAAACAGGAAGTCCCTTCCTTAGTGTCGCCGCACTGCGGGCCTATTTACAATGCTGCCACCTCTTCCCAAGTCTTGGGCTCCCTGTGCAGCTTTTGTTCTTGTAACTTCAAGAAAGTCACAGGATAAAGTACCGCTATCTTTTTGTTACCCCGAGATGTGATGAAATTGCATGGGCTACACCTAGCACGAGGCAGTACTTACCAGTAATGTAAACGGTAGATGCTCTCAGGCTGGGCAATAAAGTTATTGTCACCATTGGCTTGTATGGCAGGCAGCTGCTTGCTTTTTTCTTTGTCTCCTTTCCCACTGTTTTCTAACTTTGCTTTCCTGCTTGACTTCACTCCCTTTCTGATCACGCATCACCTTGGTTATTGCTGGGTGAAGGTTTCAAAGGGAATTAGGTTCCTGGCTCACACTGAACCATGGGCGACTGGTGCCTCCTGAGTCTGGGCACAACCGGGGGGGGAGGTCCCCCAGTGACCAGCTGGCAATGGACGTGCCGGTGGTGGAGCTAATTTGGGCGGGGGGGGCACTAGCGCTCTACCAGCTGGAATGTTCACTGTCAAGGGGGGCACATGCCCCCCCTGCCTCCCCTACGCATCGCCTATGCACTGAACATCCAGGAGGGTTGGGCACTTCTCTTACATATACATCTTCTCAAGTGGTTCTTCTTAAAGTAGTTACCCAAGGCGGTGCAACCTTTCTTGATGTTAGTGAGCACTTCATGACACAACATGCTGACTCAAATAACTGGGATCCTTTTGCAAGAAGCACAAGCAAGTTACAAAGCTGTTGGGTAACTAGTCCTTAACTAACTCCTGGTAACTTTTGGAGGAAGTTTCCTGAGTAAAGGTGGAGCAAACACTGAGTGACTCCAAGATTGGGCTCGCTGGTTTTCAACAGAAGGTCAGTCCATGAAAGGCATCATAAGCTGTCAGCATTTCAGGGGTGCTCATAGAGACCAGCTTCCTTCCACGTTTTCGAGCACCACACGTCCTAACAGCACCCAACTACACCCATCAGCTAAATATGATACCATGTGCTCTAAATGCCGAATCTTGTCACCGCCTCTTGTCTCTTCCTTAACAAACAATAACACCGCAGCTACTTTTCCTGTGATCTACCAAAACTGGTCTATTCATAGCATCGGTGGTAGGCTCTCACCTCGGAAAGCTTATGCCTTTCTGAATGAGCTAGCCTGTAAGGTGCCACCCTGCCATGCCTTCTGCTCAGGATTAAAATAACGCTCTGAGTCACTGGTTATGACGAGGGGAGTGGGTGTTTAACTATCCCCCTCCAGGTAAGCTCGTGGCCCAAGTCAGTGGTTTTCAAGCTGTGGTCCACAGACCTCTGGCAGTCCACAGACTGTCTAGGGGGTCTGCAAAAGATGACTATGATCAATCAAAAGTATCTGAATACCCACACTTACAAGTCAAAGGGGTCTAAACCACTGGAAATTTTTTAGGGGCTCACAAATGAAAAATGGTTGAAAAGCACTGGTCTAAGTTATTTGTTCTGGACTGTCAAGCTAGAGTCAAGCCTCCTTTGGCTTCTCATGTGTTTATTTGTTTCCATCTGTGGCATCCAAGCCAGGTTGTTTCTGAGACCAGACACCCAGCGGCAGGCACCTCCCCTGGAGATCTTCCAAAGGAGACTGGACACACACCTCGCTGGGGTTAGGTGACCCAGCGCTCTTTCCTGCCCAGAGCAGGGGGCTGAACCCCATGATCTCACGAGGTCCCGTCCAGCCCTGAACTTGTGTGAATCCGTGGATTGCCCCCAGAGCCTTCCTTGTTCCCCTTGCAAAGCTCTGGGCTCTGCCTACTTCGGACATTTTTCCTTTGTTGACCAGAGGACTCATCAGATGCATTAAAAGCTGCAGAACAAATATTCTTTTTAATAACAGATGGAAATATATATGTACCTACGGCGAGCAATCAGGGACTGGGATGGAAAACACCTGGGCTCTATTTCTGGTCTGCGCTGTGACCTTTCTTCCTTCCCATCCCTGTGCCGGTCTCCTCCCCTTAGCGACACAGAGCAGCCCCCTTGTCCCAGGCACCCTCTCCCGCTACGTGTTTGTGCAGCACCTCGCACAATGGGGTCCCCATTTCAGCAAGTGCTAGAGGCCGCGCTTATCCCCCCGTCTCACTCCACGGTAATCAGCAGGCTGACACCAAGTTTGAATGTGCCCCCTTGTCTACTTCTTTTAAAAGCAGGGCCCCAATAATAATGTTTTTTTATCAAAGTGACTTGAATGAGGTTGAATGGTGAGTCAAGGACAGGGCTAGGTGGAGTCCTGGCACCACCACTACTGCTGTAGAGGGTCCTGTCTTACACCTGCCCAACACAACCGGCTGCAAAAGGGGGATTTAGGGGAAGAAGGATGAGCTGTGTAGCTGTTCCTTCGTCAAGCCTGCAGCCCTGTTCCCCAGCCAGACAATCCATCTGGCAGGCCCCATTTGTAGGTAGGGTCTCTCTTCACTCTCTTGTGAATGGAGGAAGAAAAGGGAAAGGAAGCGGTGGACTTGGCAACCGACAGAGCAAAGTCTCTCCCAGCTGCAGAGTGCACGCTGGGCTCTCGCTCCATAATTCTCATTTATATTCCAGCAAAAAGGCAGAGCCTCAGGGGCCTGGCCTTCCTAACCCCAGGGACGGGATGGCTCTGAGCGAACACCTGGTCCCCTCTGGAACCAAGTCCTGCCAATGCGCTCAGCATGCCCGTAGCAGGCTGATGATCACACCGGCTGACGGGCTGCAGAGAGGGGGAAAGGCATAAAAGCGGCAGATCTGCATCCCTAGGACTTCAAACACCCCCCTCCTCAGTCAGCAAATACCAAAATCCAGCTAGAGGCTGTACCTCCGTGGAGAATTTACATCTGTTAAAAAATGGATGGGTGAGAAGATGGCAATCGAAGCCACTTTCAAGGAGAGGAGTCTGTGAAGGACACACCACGAGCCAGCAGGCCCGGCCCCCTGCCTCACCCACTAGAAACGCCAGATCCACTGAGGCTGCACTCAGGGCCCCTTCGCTGAGCTGCCTGGGACTGCTGGGGAGCTGGAGACAGCAGGTCCTGTTTGCAAAGAGTGTGCAAAGTGCTGAGTACACAAGCCCGCTGCAGTCCCAGCGCTCGGCTGTTAAAGAAAAAGCAGCTCACTTCTCATACCCCAGAGGGCTTTTCCATTGACACTGGGCTGCTTGGATTCATCTTTTTTTAAGACGTCCTTAAACCCTACCAACAGGATGAAGTTGCAGAAAGACGATGGGGATATAAAAGAAACTGATTACAGCTGACTTTACCTAGATCTTCCTAGATTTTCTAAGGAAGCGCAACAAAACCCCAATCTAAACCCAGCATGGCAGCAAGTTAAGCTCAATCACCAGAAAGAATCTCCAGTCTCCAGGACTGGATTATTTAAAAGACTTTACTGTAAAAGGTATAGTCAAATCTCCTATCCCTGTTGTCTTTGCACTTTCCCACCCGAGGATCTCAAAACAGGTTACAGAGATGAGCCGTGGCAAACCTGGTGAAGCAGCAAAGGGAAGCAATCAACTCTGGAGTGGGACACGGGGACTCCCTGACAGCTGCATACAGCAGCACCATAAAATGAACAATCCAGAAATTAAAGAAGAGCCCTGTCTCCAGTTGAACATCCAGGGGGATTTAGACATCAAGGTCAACCCTCAGAAAAGAAAGCAGTGGGATCTGAATGGTGCTGAGTGGTAGGATCCTCCTTTCACGTTGCTTGTGGTGGAAGCACACTATACTACACTAATGGGTAAGTCATGACCTACTTCATGTGGTCAGACTTAGCACAAATGATCAGTTAGTATTCCTGAATTAACACCATAACTCCACTCACTGCCAAGAGTAGTAGGCTGTTATCCTCAAAGTGCCCTAACCACCAGAGGAGGATAGGTCACACAAGATATGAGCACGTCCCCTTTATTTCCAGTCTTTGATTTGACTCTGCGGCTCCCAAAGTGAAGAATTTCTACCATCTCATGGAAGCTGCCTTTTATTACATGTTTCAATCAATCTCTGGACTTTCTTGACCTGGGAGCTTCTCCTGTATGCAACAATCCTGAGCCTAAATATTCATTCAACAAGATCAGACTGTTCTTGACAACAAATTGTGCAAAGAACTGGGGTGCAAAACGTATTGGGCAACGAGACAGAAACTCCCAAGTACTCAGTTATTGTAGCACAGCCCTAACAACCTGGTGTCTACCTGGGAGACCTGGCTGGACCCCACGTAGCTTGCGAAGGTGCAATACCTGATGATTTCACTCGCAAGACCCTCCCAGTGACTAACAAAGTAGTGTCTTGCTTGAGGAACGCTGACAGCAGGATAAGCACATGTCCCAGAATTATGTCCTGTTTTATATAGACTCTTGTCCCACCCCCATCACAGTATTTCAAGTGCTTTTCAGAAGTGCATTCAGTGAGAATGATGGAGACTACATCAACACATCCCAGGCATCCCCTGTCCTCTGCCACCCACTTCAGCCATTGACTGATGGACTCGGCATTTAAGATCGGTGATGACAATGTGAGAGTCAAACTGTAACTTCAAAGGTTACAACAAAAGCAAAGATTGGCTCTCTGGAAATGGCTGATAGTCGCAAGAAAAATGCATGTGAGAGGCTGCTCACTGCTCCTACAGTCACAGCGAAATATTAGCAGCTATGTTCTCAAAAGCAAGGGCCTCCCTTGTGCTTGCAAAATTTGCACACACATCCATCACACCCACCCCCTGCAGCTGCATGTGGAAACAGGCTTTTCTGTGCACAAATTGGGAAACTGCACATGCAAATGAGACTGTAGGTGCAGAGTTACCCAATTTATGCACAAAGTGAGGCATTTGCAGGCACAACAGGAACCCGCGTTTGAAAATGTAGCTGGGAGGGCAGAATTTCATGTGGATAAGCACCCAGTCAGGGCCAGACTTTCTAAACAGCTCAGCTCCTAGCAGGGCTTTCTGTGACCCCCCTACCCCCTTGGAAAGCTTTTCAAAAGCATTCCAGCCCCATGTGCCAAGCTTGCCTGGAAGTCAGCTCACCTACAGCCCTGGGTATTTGCAGGCATAAGCAGTACATTGGTTTAAGGGATGTTTTTGTCATGTCTGGTGCCACTGGGGTTGTCAGCCTTCCTACGGGGTTCAAGTCAAGGACTGCTCTTTTACTCCATGCTTAGGCTTTCATGCAGCTGCCTCTGGTACAAGGCTCTTGGCTACTCTTTCTCAATACACGATCTCTTGCTACATCAAAAATGCTGGTATACAAGGGTCCCCAGATTGTCCATGGATTACTTGCTTGTGGACAGCCGAGATCTGGCTGGTTGCATGGCGCTGGCTTTCTTCCTTGTTTCCAGCTGCTGAATTGCATTACAGATGGTTAAAAATACATCGCCTACTTTCCTAATGTGACTTTTCCATGTAAGCAAGCGGTCTAGCTCATACAGTGGTCTGGTGGACTGAAGGCAGGTATCCAGAAGGTAATCGCTCAATTAAAATGTGATTCCATGTTGAGGACCCCTGGTACCACACACCACTCAAATCCTTGGTCCGTGGAAACCAAGGAAGAAAGTGGCCAGGGATGCAGAAGACCTGCGCACTGCCGCTGACCAGCTGAGTGAGTTTGGACAAACTCATCCTTCTCTGTGCCTCGGTTTCCCCGTGTGTAAAATGGGGAGTGTTAAACTGACTTCCTTTGTAAAGCACTGCAAGATCCACCAATGCAGAGCATTATGTAAGAGCGAGGTATTATTAGAAGGGCCTTTCACACAGGGATCAAAGTTATTATAAGTCCACAGTCAAGCTAGACAAAGATCTGCTAATTGTATTAAACTTAAAGGTGCAATTCCTTTGAGCTTAATTGAAACTGCCTGCGCAAACTGGGGAGGGTGACTTCTGGTTCTGTGGGTTCGACCGACACTCCACCCACCGTCCTGCCCCGGCAGGGTATCCATTTACCAGCATGACTTCATCAGGGCAAATTTTAATTGGCTGCTCTTACCCCTGAGGGCACCCTTGCAAACCACTTGTGCAAGAGGCTGCCTTGGACAAATTAACCCTTCCTGGGCATCCTACTTGACACTGAGCCCTTGTGCAATTCTGGGAAATGTGGCTGGACAGATGACCAGGAAATTCGGTTCTGTCCAACTCAGCGTGCGGAGAAGGAAATCCTTGAGAGACGTCCTTGGAGGGTGCATTGTGTATGGAGGCTGCATAGGTTTTTTTCCCAGCGGGTTCTGTTGCTGGCATGCGTCGGTGTAAGGTCAATGTTCCCACCGGCACATTATGGGCTTGTGTATTAATGCTTGCTTGGGGGTCTGCACCCCAGCTGTACGATGATCATGGTGGTCAGTCAGTCCGGGTGGGTTTGGAGAAGGGAAGCCATGCTGTGGGGAGGGGAGGATGCTGGAGCATGAGCTGGCTGCTCTCCGGTTCGTCTGGGAAGGGCTCTCAAATTGTTCATATTGTGTTTAACCAACAGCTCTGACGAGGTAGATGCAGCAGCAGTCACGTGTGCCGGGAAGGGAGGCTGCAAACAGGTGCTCTAAGTGGCTTGGTGTTTCCTCTCTGCCGTCAGGAAGGTAAGACACCAGGGACTGTCTGCAGGTATCAGGAGCCCCCTGAACAATCATCCAGAGGAGATTCATGTTCTTTCAAAAAATAGGCAGAAAGCTGCCCTGAATCCCAGATCCTGGCCACCATAGATAGGCATCCAACAGACCCATGTTAGCCACCTCTGAACTGAGGAGATGGAAAAATAACGATGAAAATCCCAGGACGATGCTTATTTATTTCTTGGAGGCTATGCCCCACCATGGTGCAGACACCCATCTGTTTTGTGATCCTTGCTTGGGAACATGCAGGTCATGGGATATTAAGTCCCAAGCAAGGTACTTCTGAAAAAGGATGCTTGGCCACTCCAGTTAGGCTACGAGTGGTGAACTCCTGCAGTGATGACATCCTCCCTAACAAATGGCCACAGCCAAACTGGTGCATTCACAGCAGTGCTTCTGTCAAATAATATTTGCTTGGACCTGGGGCCTCCAGAATCATCCAACAGAGCCTACGAGGTATTTTGAGGGTGCTGTACAAATCCTTGCAGCTGACCAGCTTGGTTCCCAGTTCCCAGCTGTATCGGGCACTTTGCCGTCAGGCTGGCAGTCCCTGGATGGCTCTGCTTCCTCCCCAGGCTGTATGTGGAGGCAACTGGGAACTGGAGCATCACAGAAATGCGGGGCTGGGAGGAGCCTCAAGAGATCATCTTGCCGCATCTTAAGGCAAAACCCAGTATACCTAGTCCATCCATTGGCAGATGCCTGTCTAACCCGCTTTTAACAATCTCTAGTAGAGGAGCCTGCACCGCCTCTCCGGCTCACCCAGCAGTTTGAAGGAGAAAACAGCCGGGCACCTGTGGAATATGCCTACGTGATGGTCAGAGCAGCTAGGTCTCGTGGAGCTGAGGCTTGGCTTCACTTGCTTCAGTTGATGGACTCGGCAGGTTTTGGACAGCCGTGCCGAGGGATGGAGACTGCTTAGGCGCAGCTCAGGGGAAACGGGTAGCAGTCTTACCGGCTGCACAAACAGAACAAAAACCAAGCAAGTAAAGGAAGAGTTAAACCCCTTCCAACAGGGAGAGCCAGACCCTCTGACTCTTGCCCTCCTACGGTTTCTCCACCCAGCTCTGGAAGGGAGCGAAGAGTGTGAAGCAAAGCGTGGAGGAAGGAGAGAGAGGAGGGCGTATGGCAGAGAGGCAGAGAGAGAACACATTTGAAATACAGAGAGACACAGAGGGGTGAGGGAAGCGAGATGCTAACCCTGCTCTCCTCTCCTTCTGCAAGCGGCAGAGAGAGGGGAGCAGAAAGAGAGACCAAGGAAACATGCGGGAGAGAGAAAGAAGGAGACCAACCAAGGGAGCATGTGTGAAAGTCACAGTGAGAGAAGGGGCCTCTTTGATTCCATGTGCCTCATACCAGACACTGTCTAGACTGCAGCAATTATTGTCAGCTCAGAACACCCAGGCATTGCCATTTCAGCTGAAAGGGAGCTTAACAAAGAGAGGGGGGAAAAAAAGAGAAAGGAAGAAAAAATACCCTGCCAGCAAAGAGCTAGTCTCCTTACAGGGTGAGGGTCTCTCAGTCGCCCTCCACCTCCCCCATCCCTGCAGGCAAATACCAGCACAACTTACCCTGTGGAGTGGGGAAGAAAAATACACAGGAGAGTCTGAATGCAAAAGAGTCTGCAGCCTGATTGAGGTGAGGGCTGGACTGGGCTGATAAGGAGCCTATTGCCTGCTTAAATATTAGAGTTGTTTTCCAGGAGTTTGGGGTAATGACCTGCTTGTCAGGTTCATATTGTGCCGCTTTACTGTAATTCTCCCTTTTCAGCCCCAAAGTTGGGGGAACTAGCAGAGAACCAGTTTGACCAGAGGAGATCCTGGGGGATAGGGGAGAAGACCTGCTGGGCTAGGAGAGGAAGGACCAGGAGAGCTGGGCTGGTCAGTGGAGCAGAAGAAGGGGAAGCTGCCAGAACTGTCCTCGCCTGGTAAGGAGGGACAGGTCCGCTTCTACTAATAGGAATCCAGAGGGTCTGACCAAATTCAGCCCTCTCGTGTCCTGTGGTCACACAACACTCCTCTGCGCACCCACCCTCCACCCTCACCTACCCCAATCGCCGTCCTTCAGTCCAAGCCCCAATTTGGGATTGACATTCTCAGTTCATTCGCTGTCCTTGTTGCTGTCACTTCTGCTGCTGCTGATCCTGTTGTAGTCCTCGCTGCTGCCAGGGCCAGTGGCATCTCTGTTCTCTTTGTTTCTCTGTCCACTTCTCTTCCCGGGGGGGGTCTTTGAGTAACCTGTGCCCGGTGTTGGGTTTATATTCTGGACTGTGCATGCCCAGAGAGCCAAAGAATAGCACTGGGCACTGCAGGGCCTTTTAGCACCCTAGGGTGCCCTCCTCCCATTGGGCCGAGAGGCAGAATGGGGAAGAGAATTTCCCGAGGCCACAGAGGGAATCAATGAGAAAGTCACAAACAGACACAACTCTGGGATCCCGGGTTGCCCTGTCTCTTGCCCCTGCAACAGCTGTGCCCCCAACCCCAACCCTGGATATGCAGTCACTCATTGTCACAGCAGGAACTCACCTTAAGCAGCCTAGTTTTTCATGAAAAAGCTAGCCAGACTTAAAACTTCGCTCTTCTGCCTGACCCAGAAGGTCTTTACCAACCTCTCTGAGGTCTGGATGGAAGGGACCAATCATTCCCAGAGACAGAAAGGACTGAGGCAGTCTTAGGGAAACAGTAAGGGCAGGGAAAGAGAAGGCAGGCGAGAATGGCCAAAGGGGGTATGGATGAAAGGAAAGTGGAGAGATGAGTTAAAAAAGAGAATGGAAGAAAACAAAAGAAGAAAAGAGTAGCAATGATCAAACCTCTGCCCTCATTCTCCTCTCCCCACCATTCTTATTTGTCTCAGAAAAGCTGTCAGACCCTCCCTCTCTCACTGCTGGTCTGTGATATAAAAGAACCCCAAAGGAAGAGGGATTTAAAGCCACGACAAGCCAGAGCCAGGAATTCGACTCCTCCACTAGAAGTTTCAACGAGCTAAGGAGGATAGTTGGGGAAGGGCTGAGGTCCCGGAGGCGAGGGGAGACAGGTGTCCAAGGAGAGTGGTTGCTCCTCAAGGAGACGATCCTCCAAGCCCAAAGGAAGGTAATCCCAACAAGGATCAAAGGGAGCAGGAGGGCACACAAGCCCCCAAGGCTCACCAAAAGCATCTGGGAATGTCTCCTTGCTAAAAAGGTGGCTTACACCCAATGGAAAGAAGGGGTCATCACCAAGGAGGGCTATTCTGCAGTTGTCGGGGATGTAGGGAGGTAATTAGGAAGGCCAAGGCAGAGATGGGACTGGGACTAGCTTCCCAGATTAAGGACAATAAGAAGTCTTTTTTTAAATACATAGGGGGTAAAAAGAAGGTCCCGGGTAATGTGGGACCCTTGCAGGGCGCGTTGGGAAACTTGGTCGTCACACCAGACGACAAAGCTAACATGTTTAACGATTTCTT